TGAAAGCCCAGCAGCCCTAAAACAGAGCCCATCATTTGTAGCTATCAGAGAAACGGCTTTTCTAAGCAATGGTCTAGAAACATGAAGTRAGATAAACATTTCAATGGATACATAGAAAATTCCTGGCTCTTRCGGAATGTGAAATATATAGACATTGTATATAACTTATCCGTAAGACGGTATAAAAGTAAGATCTTTCATTCGGGCCCTACTTACATGTGCTTCTGATCAAAAATTATACGACATATTCTAAAACCATTTAGCGTTGCTGTTGTTGTAGTTGTAGCGTAATTTTATCGTCACAAAGAATCACATTGAACGACTTAGGAAATGATCTCGTGCTACTTTTTTTACTTTATGACGTAATTTAATAGCAACTGACATTAATGGCGGTGACCGGTTTATGGCGCTGTGTTGCGCTGCCATTCGTGCCACAAGTACTTAACTAATGCGGTAATAATAGCTGCTTGGTTAGACTGGACGTTAGATGGTGGAGTGTGTGTGTGTGTGCGTGTAACTGGTGGGCAGCGGCAGTTGAAGTAACTAAATTTACGCTTTAGCGTGCCGCCTAAAGTCAACGCTGCTAAGCTTAGCTTACAATGCATAAGCTTATGGCCAGGCATTAAGCTATAAGTTGATTTGCTTAAGTAATGGTTGGTGTTGGGCATACTTTCTATACTCTTCTACTATTGTCGGAGAGCTTGTACAATTTAAATGAATGTGTATTTGTTGTTGTAGATGTTATTTGCATACCAATAGATATTTATGCGCATGCGCTGCAAGAATATTTACTTTTATAAGCTTAAAAGGTTACACTTAGTATATCAATAAGTTTTTAACAACCAGAAGGAAACGTAGAAGACACTACGAAGTATATAGACATGTTTATAAATTATCTGCCTGACGAGCTAAGTCGATTTAGCAAAGTTTGTCTGAGGCGGTCTATATTTAAGCGCACTAGTTCTTCAGTTTTTGAGATATCGATCTGAAATTTTGCAAACGTCATTTTCTCCTAACGAAGCTACTTACTTTCCGGAACCATTGATATCGGACTACTATAGCATATAGCTACCATACAAACTGAACCATCGGGATACAGTGCTTGTATGGAGAGCTCTGTAATTTAAAGACATATCTTCAAGAAATTTGGCATGGATTATTCTTTAAGGCAATGGTGCAAAATCCGCAGAAATTATTCAGATCGGATCTCTATAKCATATAGTTGCCATATAAAATTAACAATCGGGACCCAGTGCCTCTTTGGAAAACTCTTTTGTTTGGCGAGGTTTCTTTATGAAATTTYGCACAGATTATTATTTTAGACAGCGTTACAATAAATGAAAAGATTTTTCAAATCGAAGCACTATAGCATATAGCTGCCATACATTCTAAGCGATTAAAACCAAAACAAACTTTTTCTATGCCCTTTTATGCAAAAGCAGCTGTGTAGGGTATTATAGCTGCGCTGTTTCTGCGTGTGTGTAAAGCGTTATCTTTATTATGTCCGTACATTCTCATAACAGCCTTGCCGCCTTTGGACCAAATCCCATTTTATCACCCGTGTCATTTTACAATACCGCTTGCCGACTGCGCGTGCTTGACTTTACATACAAKCATTAATACACCCATACAACTTAAAATAAAGCTGTGCACACTTAAATTCATGTTTGTTGCCGTGTGCCACAAAACCGCTAATATATATATATATATRTRTGTGTGTGTGTGACTTGTGTCTGCTTGCTTTTGTGCTTGTTGGCTTTRGTGTAGCACATTTTGCAGCACCTTTTCTTTCCATAAGTCTGCACTCTCTGCCATTTTTCTTTGCCTACTCCACTGAATTCTATTTTGCCATTAATCCAATTGCTTTTATGCTTCTTGTATTTCATGCCTCTTCGTCTTGCATATTTGTTTTTATTATTACAATATTTTTTCAATGGCATTTTATAGCCGAAACCGTTAGATAGTGCACACTAACTAACTTACTAGTTTGCTAGCTGTAGCTAACTCACATATGCTACTACAAAATGCTTTTTCATATTAAACTCGCTCTTTGTTGCACTTTTTTCTATAACCGCATATGCTTTGTAGCAGTGCCGCATAAATATCAGCACACATGCAKATATACGCACACGTTACCGTCAGCTACAAAGTGCGCGTACGAATGTCGTTTAATAAAAGAAAATTTTTGTGTAGCAAACAAATGTGGCAATTGCCCTGCTCCAGCTCCAGCTCTTGCGCTGGCCAGCTGGCTACTTTGTTAGTATAAGAGGAAATATGTGTAGCGGCGCGGTGCGGCGCGGAAGTATCTGTTTCTGCAACTTAGTACTTGCTTAGTTGCTGCTTGGCCAGCGGAGCGCATAGAAAGAAGTTACTGGGTAAGTTAATACAAGTTTATTTTATAGAGAAACTGTTGAACGAAAAAAAAAAACATAATAAAACATGAATGAAAAATAAAACATCAGAAAGAACGAAAATAAATGGCAAAGTGGAAAAAAGTAAATAAGGCGAGGAAAAATAACACTAGAAAGGTGTGACTACGGTAGCAACGCTGTTTAGATAACTGGCTCGCCAACTTTGTAGTGGACACAACTTTAATATGATTAACACTACTCGGCTTGTTTGTGTGTTAGGCGAAGGAAAGTGGAGAACAGAAGCGGCGGTTTTTCAGTTTTATGCATACATTCAGAGTAAAGAAATACATAACCTAAAAGTTGTCAAAAGATATTTGCATTTATATACCGAATGTCTTAGTTTTTTTAATGAATAAACAGCGCCCAATTCTCTCCACAGTAGTAAGGCTGTTAAAGAAGGTGGGAAAACATAATGTTGGCATTAGAAAGCTCAATATTTACAACTTTCAGTTTTCTAAATGAATTCATACGGTGTTTTACACTCCCTGCCACGCCCATTTTTTATACTTTTAAGCAAGAGAATTGAACATTATCGGATGCACAGTTGGACCAGCGTGAATGAGATGAAGAAGTTCATGTGAACTAAGATGTGGAGTTTAAAAAAAAA